TCCAGAGGTTCAAGCTGGATTCAGAAGAGGCCATGGAACGAGGGATATCATTGCTGATGTACAGTGGACTTTGGCTGAAAGCAGAGAATATCAGAAAGATATTTACCTATGCTTTATTGACTACACAAAGGCTTTCGATTGTGTGGATCATGACAAGCTATGAATAACATTGTAAAGTATCAGTATTCCAGAACACTTAATTGTGCTCATGAAGGATCTGTACATGAACTAAGAGGCAGTTGTTCAAACAGAACATGGGAACACTGGATGATTTTAAATTAAGAAATGTGTGCAACAGGGTTGTATTCTTTCACCATACTTATTCAACCTGTGTGCTGAGCAAATAATCCGAGAAGCTGGGTTATATAAAGAAAAACATGGCATCAGGATTGGAGGAAGACTCCTTAACAACCTGCCATATGCAGATGATACAACCTTGCTTGCTGAAAGTGAAGAGGACTTAAAACATTTATTGATGAAGATCAAAGAGCACAGCTTTCTATATGGATTACATCTCAATGTCAAGAAAACAAAAATCCTCACCACTGGACCAATAAACAACATTCTTATCAACAGAGAAAAGATTGAAGGTGTCAAGGGCTTCATTCATCTTGGATCAGCTATCAACCCTCATGGAAGCAGCAGTCAAGAAATCAAATGACATATTACATTAGGCAAATCTGCTGCACAAGACCTTTTTAAAGTGTTGAAGAGCAAAGATGTCAGCTTGAGGACTAAGGTGCACCTGACCCAAACCATGGTATTTTCAATAACCTCATATGCATGTGAAAGCTGGACAGTAAATAAGGAAGACCTTAGAAGAATTGACACATTTGAGTTTTGGTGTTGGAGAATAATGAAAGTGCCATGGGCTGCCAAAAGAACAAACAGATCCATATTGGAAGAAGTTCAGCCAGAGTGCTCCCTGGAGGCCAGGATGACCAAACTTCATCTCTCATACTTCGGACATATTGTCAGGAGGGACCAGTCGCTGGAGAAGCATATTATGTTTGGTAGGGTGGACAGTCAGAGTAAAAGAAGACCCCAATCAGATGGATTGACCAAGTGGCAGCATTGATGGACTCAAGCATGGCCACAATAGTGAGGTTCACCCAGGATCGGGCAGTGTTTTGTTCTGCTGTGCATAGGGTCGCTATGAGTCGGCACTGACTTAATGGCACTTAACAACAGTTTGATTCACAGCTTTGCTGGGTAAAGGATTCTTGGTTGGCAGGTGTTTTTGTTTTTGTTTTTTCTCACAGGGTTTTATATATATCTTCCCATTGCTTTCTTGCCTTCATGGTTTCTGATGAAAGATCAGAACTTAATATGATTTGCTTACCTTTGTATATAACACTTCACTTTTCCCTAGGGCTTTTAGGATTCTCTCCTTGTCTTTGATTTTGGAGAGTTTGATTATTATATGACTTGGTGATTTTCTTTGGGGGTCTATCCTTCCTGGGTTTCGTTAAGCTTCTTGAATGCTTATCTTTTCATTTTTCCAGATGTTAGGGAAATTTTCTTCCAGCAGCTCTTCAACTATCTACTCTGTGGACTTGTGTGATTCTTCCTGTTCCAGAATGCCAATCATTCTTAAGTCATTCCTCTTCATGTTGTCCAAGATGAATCTTAGACTTCCTTCAGATGTTTTCATCCTTGTTTTTCTTGCTCTCCTATCTTAGCAGTATTGAGAGATTTGTCTTCCAGCTTGCTAGTTCTGGCTTCCATCTCTTCAATTCTATTCCTTTGCCATTTCAGTGTATTGTCCATTTCTGATATTTTATTATTAATCATTTGGACCTCTTTTTGCAGGTTTGAATTGTTTCCAATGCTATTTCTATCTTATTTGACTGTTCCTGTAGTGCTTTCCTGACTTCTTCCTTATTTTTCTCAAACTCTCTGTGGAGTGTTTGAATGCATCTCAGTATCATTTTTCCAAATTCTTTCTCAGCCATTTCCAAAGCCTGCCCTTTTTCCAATGTGATATCTTGGTCTACCTCCTGCTCATTTGTCTCAGTCACTCTATATTGTTTCTAGACATGTGCAGATATGGTCAGCTGTTTCTTGGGCTTTTTCAATAGTTAGTTGTGATTATTTCAATAATTAGATGAATGTATGTTGATGTTTTATTATGCTTTCTGATTGCTTCCAGGTAAATGTGATCAGAAGATGCCTTCCCTTTTCAGTTATTTTTATTACTCAGTTCAGAGTAACTGTCGCAGGTGTTAGCTGTCCAACTGGTGTATAGCTTCGATGGTGGGATTTTATAGGATGTGATTGTAGCTTGACTGTATGACCGTAATTGCTGTTACTTCTTGGGTAATGTAAGGAGAGAAAGAACTCCTTAAAGGTAAAGAGGGGGGAAAAAACAAAACAGCAGTAGCAAAAACACCAGACTGGATACTATAGTCTATAATCACAAGAAAGAGAAAAAAAATCTGTACCAATATATGAGCATGACTTAAACGTCCCTCTCTCAGCTTCCTGCCTTCAAGGCCTCCTGAGAAATTTTAAGATGTCACTCTTGGTCCTTATGTCATAACTCAGGATTTAATTTTCAGCTTGTTTCCTTTTTAGTCTGTCTCTCTCCCACTCCACACCCTCTGTTCAGGCCTTTTTCCTAGTGATTAACAGATCAGGGCTGGCTGTACCTATTTTGCAGTGCCATTTGGTTTTAAGCAGAACCTTTCCCCTTCTTAGATTCTGCTGAGCAGATCTGTGTACATGTATAGTAGAACCCTTTGGTGGTGGAGGGGTGCCCCCTAACTCAGGCACCCCCTCTAATTACCAGAATGGAGGTTCGCAGACAGCAACAGACCAACATACAGTGAAAAAAATAATAATAATAATGTCTACACTTTTATTTCTGAGGATAAGTCAGATGTCTGTGGTGGGAGCACTGCTCTGATTCTTCATCCACTCTGTCACACCCAAGATGGCCTCTCTGGGAGCCACTGAGACTGACCGATCAGAAAACACCAGTTGTCTTTCTTCTGCTACAAATTCCACTGGTTGTAAACCTTCAAACTTTCTAAATATTCCTTTACATGTAGTTCAGAGTTCTGGGACCGTCCCCTGATACTGCTTCACCCAGTATTTTGTGTTATTGCTGGCAGAGGTCTGCACCACACTTTTCCCTAATCTATCTATAAACCCTGCCTCTTTCCATCTTCTTTTGATGCTTCCTGCATTGTTCAATATTTTGCTCATAGAAACCTTCAGTGTTTCAAATTGAGACTCGAATTTTTCTTCAGTTCTTTCAGTTGAGAAATGTCAAATGTGTTCTTCCCTTTGGCTTCCTAATTCTAAATCTTTGCACATTTCATTATAATACTTAACTTTGTACAGAAAAATATTTATGTATATGTGAGCCATAATTTATCTCCATTTGATAGATATTGACTATATACTTATCTGTCACATTACAGTTATTTCACTATTTCTTCTGGGGAAATTTTTTGAACTCTGTGCTACAGTGAAGTTCTTTGCTAGAATACCTCAGAAGAACTCACAGAACAAAATTCATACACTTAACATTTCTTTTCTGCATGTATTGGGTTTCTGGTAGAGTCTAAATGTTTCCAGAAAATGAGTTCCAGACCTTCTTGTGTTTCGGTAGAACAAAGAACTGAAAAACTGTGTTTTCACAATGCCCCTCCACATTCCAGGATACCAAAGAACTGGAGGGTTTGGAGTCACATCTGAGATCTCGTCATTCTTTCCTTCTGCTATCACTTGATGTGGTCCCTGTCGTCTTACTCTCATCCCATATCAATTAGAATTCTCAATTGCAAGCAACCGACATTGTTTCTGTGTCAATTAAGCCAAAGATAATTTACTAGAAAGATATCATAAGCTCACAGTTTATGTAGGGTTTGAAAAATTAGTCTTGGAATGCTGCAGAGTTAGGTATCAGGAACTACAACAAGGATATTTTTCAGGGAGAGTCTGCAGAATGAACCCCAGAGAAAAGGAGCCCACAAAGTTTCCTGATGCCCATTCATCATTTCCTCAAGATTCAAAATCCTGGAAGAGAGCTACTCATTGTGGCACCCTCTGCCTGAATCAGGAAGTTCTCAGTTCACTTACAGAAGGGAGTGCTCAGAATTCCACTCTCATCAACACCAAACCCAGTGAAAGGAAGACCACCCCCCAAATACATTCTGGAGATTTGAGGAAGGGAGAGATGAATGTTGAGCAGAAAAACGTAATTTTTAAAATGATAATAGATATCTAATACATACCTCCTTTTATACCTTTGTATAGTCCTTGAGTTTATAGATGTTCAGAGACCAGTCGCCACTACTGGGTGATCAATTTGTTATCACCTCAAATCTAAGTGTCTGACTGAGACAAAGTCTAGCAATTGGCAAGAGCTTGCTGAAACAAATTTAGCTAGTAAATTTCATCTCTATCCAAGAGTTTAAAATTCCAAAGATAATGAGTTTGCTAGGATCACAGCATCCATCACTTCTCTTCCAAGGTCCTTCCCTCACTTACATTCTAGATCTTTGCTATAGGACTTACTGGTTCGCTAGGCAGTTTGGGGGCTTATCCCTAAATCTGATAGTGCAGAGCTGTCAGTAAATGTGATGCCTGGGAAACATTCCAGGAAAATCATCACTGCAGTGTTCATGTTCTTCCTCCCTGCACCCACCACCAATCTCCTGTCTTCTGTATACATATCCCACTGTGTTATTTCATTTCATGCAATGACCTCTACCACCGTATCCTCCCTGAGAATGATTTCCTCCATCCAATTCTTATTTTAAGAAAACTCAGTTTGAGCCAATAACAAGGCTTGTTTATTCAACACAAGCATACATGAAAGTCCTTGGAAAGCAATCATAAAATGCGAGTGTACGTGAGATGAACTTGGCTAATACTAAGAGAAAAACAACAATATTATATACAAATGAAATTTGAATTTGTGAAAGCAAATTCAAGAAGAAAGATATTCAGGTTAATTTTCAGATAATGTAATAGTATCTTAATTCCAGGTTAAGATGGCCTTGCAGCAGGAAGGATTTGACCGAAAAAAGCGAGGTTATAGAGACATCAATGAAATCGACATCAACATGAATGATCCTCTTTTTACAAAGCAATGGTATCTGGTAAGTGTTTCTGTGTTATTTTGAGCTTTTCTCATCTTGAGACTTTTCATAAAAAGAAATATTTCTAGTTCTTCATTGTTGTTGTTGTTAAGTGCCATCGAGTCGGTTCCGACCCATAGCGACCCTGTACAGGGTTTCCGAGGGTGTAAATCTTTACGGGAGTAGAAAGCCTCATCTTTCTCCCGCGGAGCGGCTGGTAGTTTCGAACCGCTGACCTTAAGGTTCACAGCCCGATTCATAACCACTACGCTACCAGAGTAATAAGTAAATGAAAGAGGAGGAACAAGGCTGAGAAGAAGGTTCTTCATTAAGCATGGAATATTAGCCAGCATCCAACTCTGTGAACTTCTCTGCCTCCTCTGACATGTATTTGTTGGCATCTCATTATCTAAGCTATGTTCTTTGTTGTTGTGTTGTTTTGTGCCATTGAGTCAGTTCCGACTCATATCAACCCTGTATAGGGTTTCCAGGCTGTAAATCTTTGCAGGAGTAGAAAGCCACATCTTTCTCCCACAGAGTAGCTAGTGGGCTTGAACTGCCAACCTGTGGTTCACAGTACAGTATGTATCCTTCAGAGCCTTTCTTAAGGAACTGCTAAATAATTGTGATCTCCCAGGGTCAAAGTGTGAACCAACAACTGATAAGATTCTCCTGTTGTTGCTGTTAAGTGCCATCAAGTCGGTTATCTCCCATAGCGATTCTGTATAGGGTTTCTGAGGAGCTGGTGGTGAAACTTGAACCATCGGCATTGCACCTCAAGCCAATTCACAATTATTAAGCGCCATAGAGTCAGTTCCAACTCATAGCGACCCTTAGCCTCAAAGAAAATTAACATACTAAGAGAATGAAAATCCAAGAAGAACATGGACACATTAAAGCTATGAGGAAACTCATAAGAAAGAACACAAAAATCATGAACTCAACAAAGGAAGACACACAGAACAAAGAAGCAGCAACACCACAAAAAAACAAACATAATGACCACAATTAATCAATACCTAACAATAATTACACTGAATGTAAGTGGATTAAATGCACCAACTCATAGCAAACCTACGTAGGGTTTCTGAGAGTTTACATTTTTGCAGGAGCAGAAAGACCCAGCTTTCTCCATGGGAGAAAGAGGCTTGAGCCACAGGCCTTGTGGTTCACAGTGCAGTGCTTATTGTATGGAGCCACTGTGCTCCCTCCAATTCACAATAAAGAGTCTAAAAGGAAAAAAAAAAAAAAAAAAAAGCTAGATAGATTTGTTACAGCAACAACCGCCAAATCGCAATGGCTTAACTAAACTGAAACTTACTTCTCACTCATGCTACACATTCCAAACCCACGACTTTGAGTCAATTACAACTCATAATGGCCATATATGTGGGACAAAATTGAATTGCTCCCTACCTTTTCTAAGACTGTGGATCTTTATGGAAGCAGAAAGTCTTGTCTTTCTCCAGCAGAGTTGCTGGTGGTTTGAACCACTAACCTTTAGGTTAGCAGTCCAACGCTCCACCCACTATGCCATCAAAACTCCTTGTTACATACCCAGTGCTTCATAATCTTCATGGACTCAGGCTGCAAGAGGCTCTAACTCAGTTCCATCCTAACACTTGCATTTATCATGCATCAGAAAAGGAAAAGGACAAACTGCACACTATTCTTAAAACTTCCACATAGATGAGTCAGATGGCACATAAACTCACATCTTATTGGCCAAAGCCAGTCACATGGTCATTCTAATTTCAAAAGATAGGGAGGTGTCATATTAACATGTTCAGATGGAAAATCATAATTTCTATAAAGAACACTAATTACAGTCACAAAATGTTTTAGCTAATATCACAACAGCCATGGGTCCCTGTAGGATTTTGTCAATATACGCTCTGACTCCATTATTTTCTTTACAACCGATCTTTCAAAAAATTTGCCAGAACAAGGGGTGTAAGAAGAAGGTAGTAAACATATTTACTTGGAGTTTTCTTTTTTCCTTTTCATTTATTTTTTTGAGGGGTGATTCATTTTTCTTCATTAGCACATGCACTAAAGGTAACCCAACTTTTTCTTTTTCTTTTTTTTTTTTTTATGTTTTTATTGTGAATTGAGTGATAGTTCACATGGGAGAACATCAGCTTTACGTTCAGTCTGTTGTATTTCATTTCATTGCAATGATTACAAATTATAATCCCCTCCGTGCATTATAATTCAACAGCATTTTACTTCCATTCCCTTTGGGGTTTTTTTGTTGTTGTAGTTTTTAGATGTACATCGAAGCACTCAGGAATATATAACCATTCAAACAACCAAAGGATACACCCCACAAGCCTGCCCTCCAGCAATCAACACACAGCCCCTCTCCCTCCCTGAGTCCAGAGTCCAGCCACTCCATCTCTCCACATCATTGTCTCTGCCTCCATCTTGGGCATCACTGCTTTTTCTGGATAGGGTCCTGCACTTCGTTCTTCTCCCTTGATGGTCCCAGGGTCCTCTGTTCCTGGACTGCAAGATCAACCACTCTACTTCTTTTGTTATAAAACGTCTACCTTTACATTTGCAATACTCACAGGCAGTCCTGATAGCACTACTGTACCACAAGAGTCTTAGCCCCATCTCCTTTCACCAGACCTGTCCACTCTTTTTTCCATGAAGCATAACAGTTTAGAACAAGGCTTGGAGGTAGTGCTGAAATTACAGAGGGGAATGAGATGTGCTCCCTCCTGTGAAAGATATTATTATTTAGTGGCTATACCATCTTCAAATAAGACTAATCTAAGAGAATATATAAAATATGAGGCATAAGAAAAGATGTAGACAAGTATTTAATTTAAATAGGAGAGGCTTTCTTACAACCCATCTTTCAGAAAATTTTTATACAGGAGTTTTAAAACATCACTCTCGTTGTAAGAGATCAGTGAAGGATTTGAAACTGTGTTTTCAAATTTATATAAAATAGAAAATAGCAATTGTTTATATTTTTTTAAAATGGGGCGAGAAGGCTGAAGGAGTAGGTGAGGACACTGTTTCATGGAGGATATTTCCTTTTACCTTAATCACACTGCAGTACAGGTCAAGCAAACACTTTATACAGTGCTTTACAACCCCTAATTAATAAGAATCTCTGCTTGAAATTTTCTGTATCAGATCAACACTGGGCAAGCTGATGGCACTCCTGGACTTGACTTGAATGTGGCAGAAGCTTGGGAGCTGGGTTACACAGGGAAAGGTGTCACCATTGGAATCATGGATGATGGTGAGTATGTTGAAGCCCTGACATTATTTGGAAATAAGTGTATCTTTGCATGCCTTCAGACTATAAAGAAGTCATTGATTGAAAGGTGCTGTTTTGTTTTGTTGTGTGCCGTTGAGTTAGTTCTGACTCATAGCAAACCTATTTTTGAGGAGCAACTAGTGGGTTTGAACCACCGATCCTGTGGTTAGTAGTCCAGTGTTTATCCTACAGAGTCACACCAGGACCCCTAAAAGATGCTAATCAGAGAAAAATGGCCAGGTGCTGGGCCATATTGTCAAGTTACTCTGTAGCCAAATCTCTACCATGCTCCTAATAGTTCTTAAACTTGATTATTACCTTAATAAGGATTTGTTGAATTAATAAATTAAAAAGTAAACAAATAAGCAAATAAATCTTTTGTCTGTTACTGAACTCTATTTTTCTATTGGGCCACTTACTTGTATGAGGAGGCTTCAAACGGTTAATAGAAAAGTTTCATTATCTGTTAATGCCATTTTCCACAAACTTTTGAAACTCTCCCACCCCCATAGTTTATCTTCAAATGTCTTCTAAATCTATCAAACTTACCATCTACTTCTCTACATGTGCACTGTCCCACATAATAGCAACTAACCATATGTGGCTAAAATTTAAATGTATTAGCATGAAATAAAACTAAATATTCAGTTCCTCAATCACAGTAGCCTTATTTCAAACCCTCAATAGATACATGAATTTGGTATTTCCATCATGGCAGAAAGTTCCATTAGACAGACTGTGGCTCTCCATCAGTGAGATGGATTTTTACTAACAAGATTGGAGTTTAGGGAAATTTTGTCCTTATTGTTACTTTCATAATGAACCCTTGTAAAGCAGTCTTTGATAAAACCTTTTATTACATATGCCCCTGATAATGTGTTATTCTATTATGTATGTCCACCAGTCAACAATTTGTCAGAGATTTATTTTTTGTAGTTTATAATAGAAAATTCAATAAATTTGCTGCACTGGTGTTTTGCCAATGGCACATGTCCTTGGTTCTGCCAAGATTCTGGAGAATCTCCACCAAGTAGTCATTTTATTCATGTTGGGCCACAACCTAACATCAGCCATCTGGGTCCTCCAGTAAAAACTCCTCTGTGCATTATTGTTCCAATTACATATAAAGACAGTACAGAGATGAAACAATGGAACCTTTTCTTTCTAAAGATCCTCAGAGAGCATTATGTTCTCTACAACAAGTCTTTGAAACTGAGTTAATGGGAAAAGCAAAGGGAGTCAGTGCATAAAATTAGTGTTATATGTACGTAGGTGGGTTCATTAAATAGCCACATGAAAACAATACCTTGATGTTTTCTATGTGTGAGACAATGGTGTAGAAGAAAGAGAGCACTGCACAGGAGAAGGGATGTATTGGTATCAAGCACTTATATATTTTTCTTCTCTCCTAATGGTATGACTTGGAAACCTTTCCAAAGTGGTTGAGGCCAGCTCACTCAAGAGAAGATGCATCTAGGTTTGGGGGGAACCTGGCTAGGATATATTGTGTTGTCCATTTGTAACAGCATATTTACTGGGACTTCTCCTGCTGGTACCACAGAAGCCACCCAAAGTTGTACTATATTGCCAACAAACATGTTCAATGCTCTTATGAAACCTCCAACAGGGCTATCCATGCCCATTTTGGAATTCTTTAAACTGTAGCCTCTTGACTATTTAATCATCCCTTTCAAATATAAGAAAGGAGAGGGGAAATGCCTGCATCTATTTCATATGCCCTTGTCTTGAGAAGTCAAGCTGTTTAGAGAGTCCCAGCAGATTTCTTTTTGATCTTTATTTCTTCTGTTGATTGTTGCCTTTCAGTATCTCCTAAAAGTGGGCCCTCTGATTCCCCTCCACCCATTATAACTCCTGACTTCTCCATTGTTTGGTCCTCTATGGCTGCAGAATTTACTGCTGCAGAACAAACCACCCCAAAATGTCATGACTTATGTACACAATCTTACTATCCCTCTGCCATTTCAGTGGGATGGCCAGTTGGTCAAGTCCTTTGGACTTTCTATATGGTTGGAATTGGAAGATAACTGGGCTGGTGTTAACTAGAGAGTAAACTAAATAGCTGAAATGATTTGACTTTCCTTCTTCTCCCTGGGGCTCCAGGGCCACTCCTCTTTATGTGGGTCATCTAGGTGGTCTCTCAAGCAAGGTAGCTAGATATTTTTTTTTTACAGGGCTCCTCAGGACTTTTAAGAGTGGGCATTCCAAGAGAGAAAGCACAAATGCTGCTAGTCTTCTTAAAGACTGATCCTGGAATGGGCAAGCATTACTTCTATGGAACACATGGTCACAGGGCCAGTCCAGATTCTAGGAAAGGGGAAATAGACTCTGCCCCCAGATGAAGAAAGTGGCAAAGGATTTGTGGCCATCATTAATTCATGCTTATCCAATGAGACTCTCCAGAAATGAAGAAAAGAATGACCACAAAGCTATTCTTCAAACCACTGTTTAGTAGACATTTGAACACATTTGGGATAAGAGTGTTCGCCCATGCAACAAGGACAAGATCAGATGCTCAGCAGCCTCTGGTCATGTATTTAGCTGGACTGCAATCATCTGAAGACTCCACTAGGGTTGATCTCCCAGATGGTCCAGTCCCATGGCTGGTACTGGCTGCCACTAGAGCTCAGCTGAGACTGTCAAATAGAGTGCTTACACATGGCTTCTTATAGTGGGACAGATGGATTCTTTCAGTGTAAGCATCCTAAGAGAGCCAAGTGGGAGATGTGTGGCCTTTTCTGTCATAACTTAGAAGTTATGAGATGCAGTTCCATTGCATTCTATTGGTTGGAGCAGTCATGGGCCCTCCCAGATTCATAAGAAGGGAACAGACTTGTGTCTATTTCTCAGTGGGACATATGGCATTATCACATGGTAGAAGACTATATGGAATGGGAGACAGTGTACAGCCATCTTTGAAAAACACAATCTGTCTGTTGAGGCTATCACTCATCAGCAAACAATTCAGTGGTGGATGGTACAATGGGCTAACTGACTTGGGGTAGGGCCAAGGTTCTGAGATGTTACATCTTTCAACTGAACTACTAACATTCTAACTATAAGCATACGCTCTTTAGTAAACTCTGTGAGGTCTCCAGAACTAATGGGGCATCCTGGAATTTTAGTTATCATAATTCAATTTTCTGGAAAGGTTCAAACTTTTCAGAAATAGGATACTAATGATTTATAAATATAGCCAATTATTTGTCATTACATATATCACATTGTATCCTGATTGACTACTTATGAGTAAGTCCCCTCTATACACTTTAACCATAAATAATTGCATAGCTCAGACTGTGACTTCATTTTCTATGTTATTCCAGTATGTGCACAATGCCTGGTATCCACTAATGAAAGTGAGCAAATGCATATAAAATAAGAATGGCACAAGAATTTTAAATAATTCAGTTGATTAAAAAATATTTTAATATAATCATTTAGGAAAAATATTAAAGTATTACTTAAAAGTCAGATTATTAATTTAATTCTTTAATTTCGATTATTTGTTCTGAATCATGTCTACCTTTGTAGAGCTGTAAATAATCTTTTCTTTCTCTGACAAACTCTGTATCTTTTATAAATTAGCAAAAGTCTTCCCTTTAACCAAATTAAAATACTTTATCATAATTATGCTAAATTTATCTTGTTTAGTATCTAATTTTCTTTGAACCTCAAATTAGAGCCTTGCTTGAATGTTTTCCCTTCACAGGGAAGATATTACTCTTTCTCAGAACTTTTTTTTTCCTAACAAACAGAACATGGAGGTATGGTTTAAAACTTGACTTCCTGTTATAAAATAGCATAGTTGCTCTGTGTGTGTATGTGACTTTTTTAAACTTACCTATTTAAAAAAATATAAACAACCAGCTGTTCAGTGGGGGAAAGATGAGGCTTTCTGCTCCCATAAAGATTTACAGCCTAGGAACCCTGTACAGGGTTACTATGAGTCGGAACCAACTCCACGGCACATAACAACGACAACAACAATATGTAAT